ATATGATAGATGATTTAGATGTGAACTCTCCAACGGCAAACGACCATGGAGAAATGATTATTTATGACAATTTGTTCTTATCCTAAAGAGGCTTAATTGTAAAGCAGGGTGCCAGCTCAGTTTGATCAGGACTCATGTGGGGACAGGCTGGCAAGCCCCTTTTTGACTATGTCATGACTTGATATTTTCTAATTAAGGTCATACATACATATTTTAATTGGAGAATCATGTATTAGGTTGGATTAGATGATGGTTTAAGATTCGGTTAGGTAATAAAATATATTCCAATGCAACAAGGAATTATTATGATATCATTGAGCTAATATATAGGTTAGCGAAAAATAAAACCTACTATCTTTGAATTTGACTTAAGGCAGGTCAATGGTCAATGGTGAGCAACAAACGCAACCAAGTCCAGCCTAAGTTTACTTGGATTGATACCAAACTTCCTTCTCAAATTAACGTTGTCTTTCGAATATTTCACCTAACTTTTACATTTTGATATTATGCAAATTTTTATGAAGTCTGTGACATAATGTAAAAAAGAATACTTAATCAAAAAATTTTGAACATGATAAATCAATCCCATGTTCCGTATATATAACCATGTCAAGTAAGCTGACAATATGTTTAGTTGTCTCTTACAAAGATTATTTATTTATTTGTTTGTTTATTTGAGATATTTTCCTCCTGTTGTAGGCAGGAATCAGGCAGGAATTAGTCAGCAGGGGCCACCACAAGCTGTGGGTCCACAATATACCAGAGTGCCAACTCAGATGGCCCATCCTCATCAAATCTATTATCCCACTCCCTATGGGTAAGCTCCCTAATAAGTACTTTATGAAGAAAATGATCTTTTATTTATGATATCCTTTATTAGCTTGTTTACCAAAAAATTGAAAGAAGAAAAAGAACACGAATGGGCCACTAGCCCCAAAGAGCACTGGGCCCAGGCTAGTGACTGGGCCATACAGAAAGCACAGTAAGTGGACTGCGTGGTACAGCACTGAGTCAATGGTCCCCTTCACTGCTTCATCATAGTGCAACAAATAAAAGTAGGTCCTCCATATTCCCAACCTTTTCTTTTTCCTAACTAAAATTCACAAACACCTTTCAATTAATCTAGGCCCTACATCATCTAAGATCGGTTGATGAAGACCGTCCGATCGAATAGAGCTGGTTTTATTTATGGTCTGGGCTTTTGCTGGGCCAAGGGTTCACTTGTGTCGTCGTATCTTACGTTATGATTTTTGTATCTTTATTTTCGTCTCGGATAGTGTCATGATTTTGTCTTAATTTCGCAGGTACGTGACATACCCAAGTGAATACGCATACCAACAAGTCAGTGCTTTCCCCTTTTCGGTTTCTAAAGTTGCATTTTCAAATGTTTCTTTCCAATATGTGCACTGCTCAAATTCTATTTTTGCTTCACTATAGATTATCGCACGTTGCAGAAGACCCTAAAGTCATCCAAATTATTAATTATTATCATCATCATCATGTAAATCTTGTTTTTCATGTGTTCTTATTACCACTATTGTAGACAGAAAGATAAAAAGATGCTACTATGTTTTATGCTAATACCTCTTTTGACAAGAAAGAAAATGGTCTTCTTTGCACTAAGTATGGCTAGCATATGTTAACAAAACAAATCTAAATTACTTTTATATATTGAATTTTACATGCTAATATGTGACGTAAATTTTGCAACGAGAAAATTAAGTATGTCATATTCTTCATTAAAAAAAATGTTAAAATTTCCCAGAACGCTTGCGTTCTTAAATAATCATTTACTATAAGACTATATATCGTTGATATATGATGCTTATGAATGTAAAGATAATTAATATTTTTTAGTTATTATGCACCTAATTCACATATAATTCATTGTCATAACACATTTTTTGATTGATCAGGGGTTGTATAATTCTCAAGTGGCATCACAATTTTACCACCAAATGTACGGAACAACTTCTTCATCTTCACCCGGTACTCCTCACCCGTATCCTTACCCTTATAATATGGGCTACAGCCCGAGACCAGGCTTTCCTTTGCCCTATCAAGCTCATCGTCCACCACCGTACGTTCAATATCCTACGGCTCAGATCGAAGGATCATTTACACCGTCACTGCCTTATGGGTTCCAATTGCAGGCTCCACCTAATGTAAGGCAAGATCCTAACACAACAGGTGACTCCTCTTCACTCTATATATTAAATATGAATATTGTTTAATTAAAGTTTAATTGTAGAGTTATTTTGTTAGCTAGCTAGATGTTAACCACATAAGAGAGCTTTATAGTATTTCATATCATAGAAATCCATTATGCTTTGTGAATGATTTTATTGAATTACTTTTGGTGTTTCATTCTAAGAAACTTAAAATACCGAAAACATCCTTATCGTCTTGCTATAATTTGCATTTGTATTACTCCAAACTACACCTGGAGATCTAGGTTTGTTTCCTTACATATTAATTATGAAACATGGGTAGTTTCCCACCATTTCACTCAAATTTGCATTGATATTTAACTTTGGTCGTAGAGGGGGTTTATTTTTTAGAGAATTACATTGTGCTGGAGTAATCTCAAGCTCATGCAGTTGATTTTCTTTTGTATTATTTTGTTTATTAGTTTTTAAACACGATTTTCATATTTCATACGATTATAGAAAAGGCCACGGCCATGAATTTCCAAATAGCATTAATCATGGTTTTTGTTTTTGAATTTTTTCAGTGACAATTTCTAGTTTTGAATTTCCAGATCCGCAAGCACTGCAGCAGTCCTCAACTGGAGCAAATAATGAGAGCCCAGATGGATAAATTGAAAGCAATGAAGATAGCCGTAACCTATGGGCGCTGAAGATCAACGAGGCATTGAAGGGGTTATTGGCATGTGAAAAGATTCATGTTGAAGATAACTTCACATGAAAATTGAAGAAATATTCCAGAGCTCATGGACATCGATCAACCTCTAAAACTGTTTTTTTCCTTCTTCCTTTCTTTTATCGAATTCTTTTATTATTATCATTTAAACGGATCCATTTATGTAATGCACATTATCTCCTAAGTCCTATATTTAATTGACAACCATTTTGAATAATGATTTTCACAATTTATATTTGAAAATCAGGAATAATATATGAACTTCTCGTTCAATGAAGAAGATTTTGTTAACACGTGCGCTCTAACTATTGAAGGAGCATGCCATTCAATGGATAGAGTTTAAGTTGCACTTAGCAATATCCTCAATAGTTCCGAAGTACTGATACGGGGAAAGAAATTTTCAAATGATATCAAAGCAAGACAAATACAATTCACACGAGATACATTTTAACGCAACTTAAAAGTACCGCTACATAAAATATTTTCAATTTCCAATTTATGAAAAGAATATGCAACCGGCAACGCGAAAGTAGTTTGTATGGAATGCTCAATGCTATAACCTAGTTGGACTGCAAGATTAGTGTAGAAATTCTGGATATTGATCAAAGTGTTCCTCTCTCTCAATCTTCTTAATTCTCTTCATGTACCTTTTACATTAGACTCTTAAGTTCAAGTTCCATGCTAAATTGAACACTTCGGCAATTTATTTGGAATAAGGAAAACCATGTGATCGAAATTAACATTCATTAAATTCAAGAACTACAAGAATGGCCAGGCTCATATATTTGCATAATGGCATTTTTAGGAGAAGATCCTTGTGATGTCCATGGTCAATCTAACAATGTTCTCATAAGATGACCCCCCTTGTATAGTTGCACTTTTAGCTCTCTGCTTCCAATGTATAACATTCTTTCTCATTTCCTTCCCTTTATCACCTTCCATCAGTTCCTTCAATTTGCCAGTAACTTGCTCTCTCTGCACATCTTCATCTATCTCTATGCCAGTTCCCCATTGCTTACAAATGTATCGAGCATTCGTGCATTGATCATCAAACCTTGGCCAACAAATCATCGGCACACCACTATTGACGCTCTCTAGAGTTGAATTCCATCCACAGTGTGTTAAGAAGCCGCCAATAGAATTATGTGAGATGACTTCCTCTTGTGCGCACCAACTCAATAAGTAGCTCCTATCCTTGGTTTTGTCAATGAAACCTTTAGGCAATATGTCACAATGTCCTTCCACAAGGTCAGGCCTAATTACCCACAAAAATGGATGGTTGCTATTTGCAAGGCCCCAAGCAAACTCGATCAATTCTTCGGTTGTAATTGTAATCAGACTCCCAAAGTTGACATAGATCACTGAACTTGGTCTTTGTTGATCTAGCCATTCCATGTAACCATGATCTTCTTCTTTCCAAAGGTTTAAGCACAGAGATTTAGTAGGACCGGTTACAATATGGCTAAGTAAAGGACCTATAGTGTATACCTTCTGAAACATAGAATTCAGGACGTTTAAGACATCAGTCTCCAATAAGTCAAAGGTGTTGAGTATCAAGCCTTTAGCTTCTAGACATTTTTCTGATGCAACCTTGCCGAATTTGAAAATGAGACCGTCGGCGTCAACTGTTCTGATGAAGCTAGGGAGGTCTCTCAGTCGGATGTCTTTCAGTCCCGGAAGGAAATCAACAGGTGTGTCCAGATATCCATTTGTTAACTGGCTCTCATCTGTATTTAAACAAGAAATCTTTATTAACCATGCATGACGTGTAATTGGAACTAATTAATAAGCGCCAAAGGTTGAAATTATACTCATTAATTGCATATAGACTAATTTACTATCACCCAATTGTGAATAGACCCTTTGTAGTTGTACGTGGACAGATCTCCCCTACTACCACCCAGTTGCGAAATTGATCCGGTAAGTGACTTTTTGGACAATTTACACACCCTCGTGAGGTCTATTTCGCAAAAAAAAAAAAAAAAAAAAAAAAAAAAATCTTTCTCCGAGTGTAAAAGAGCCAAAAGGATCACTTGGGGTCTATCTACAACAATAGATGTAAAAGGAGTGGATTTGGATCCTCTCCACTACAAAAAAATAGTGGAGAGACCACTACTTTTAATCTTAAACGTTGATTATTTAGTAGGCGGTTATAATACAATCTAAATCTAACACTTACCATACCCCCGTGTATTGCACTCATTCCTAATTAGTAGGCGGTTATAATACAATCTAAATCTAACACTTACCATACCCCCGTGTATTGCACTCATTCCTAATTTGCACTAAAAGAAAAAATCATAACCATCAACTAGATAATCAATGGTTGTGATTATGTAGTGGTCCCTCCACTATTTTTTTTTGTAGTGGAGAGGATCCGAATCCAAAAGGAGTATATCCACAATAGGGGCGATAGTACAGAGGATCTCTATAATGAACTTTAAAAATAAAAAAACAATACGAAAACAACTATGTTTTCTTACTTGTAAACTGTCCTGAAAAAAAAGAGTGTAAATCATAGAAAATATGGTAAATAGTAGATTTAGAATGAATTATTACGGCTAAGCATTAATAGGGGGTCGATCACCAATTTGAACTAGACATTTCCCTTAAAAAAAATGAACTAGAGATAGCTGAAAGAGTACCTTTTAAGGGGGTGTAACCTCTTTGAATGAGATCGTCTAAGTAGAGCGAGCCAATGAAACCACAAGCGCTCATCGTCATAAACACAAACGCAGGAATTCTCAACTCCTCAGCAACATGTAGAGCGAAGGTCATTAGCCAATTATACACAACGCAGGTAATTTTAGGCACACCTGTTGAGTTATTGAGCCTCATCAAGAGATCCTTAAAGGGCGCAACACAATTCTCGTACGTCACCAAGCACCACTTAACAACATGCTCTTGGCTTCCTGAACTAGGTAACGAAACTCCGTCGGGGATAATCTCGAATCGAAAACCTACGAAGCCTTGAAGAGCATCAGGGCCTTGAGATGCGAGTACTTTTTGATGGGTGTGGTCGGTGGTGACGAACGTGATGAAGAAGCCTTTGGAGTGGAGGATATCAGCTAGTTTGAGCATGGGATTTATGTGGCCTTGGCCAGGAGCTGAAAGCATCACTACGTGCGGCCTTTCCATCGATCTCTTTTAGAATTTGTCTTGGGTTTAATTTGGAAGCGGCACAATGGTTTCCTCCCTTCTTAAGGATTTCATGTTTAGTATATTATTATGAGCGAGTTGACGTTAAGATAAATAACTGGTTGCGTAGTAATGTGGTTAGCTTTGGAGCGTTGCTCTTGAAGCGTATATACGTGTGAAAAGAAAGAATCCTTTGCTTATTGATTTGCTTAGGATATTCATTGGATTTTTTTTTCTCTTTTTCTATGAACGCATTGAATTTGACTTGTCGTCGCCATATTTATTATTATTTGTCTGTTTTTATCTTCAACAAAAAGATGTCAAATTATTTCAGCCGAAACATCATAATCATAAAGTATAGTAATTAAAAGGGTAAGTGATCACATAAACATAAATTTGACTTGATTATTTTTCACTTGAAACCCCGTAATAGCCTAAGGGGGTTTATTAGTTGAGGATTTTTTTATTGGGACCAAGACTTTTTCTAGGATTTGACTTTACAGTGATAATTGGTTTATGATTAGAATTTAGATTTTAACTTCAAGGTATTATTGGTTTAGAACTAGGGACTTGGATCTAGCTTCGTGATATTATCAGTTAATTAGGATTATGATTAAGACTAGGATTTCAAAATCCAAATCACATTCCTACTCTACACATTCTAGTAGGAAATTTTTTTATAAAAAGTCCAAGTAAAAATTACTGGATTGTGATCTCTCTCGTTGGATTTTCTTTTCTCCTTCCATTGATGAGTCCATATTTAAAAGAAGCATACTAATAACTAATATTTACAAAATATCTACGATTAGTATTAAATATACATTTAATATCCCATAGTCAGTACCCGGTTTTAACTATTTTAAATTAAATATTTAAATATATTTCATACATAAAACAAAATATAGTTAATAAATAACATTTAAATATTAACTAAATTTATTATTTTGCATATTTTAAATATATAAAATCATGTAATATTTATATTAAATATATAATTTGTATTCACATATTAGATAATCAATATGGTAATTATGTAAATATTAAATGTAAGTGTTTGGGTCAAAAGTTGATGTTTTCATTGTCATCGAATCTATTACAACTTTGGTCATTACAATAAACTCAAATAAAAAATTATTCTTTTTATAAGATCTCCTTTATACAATGAAAATAAAGATTACAACTCTTGTCAAACAGCGCAACGGATCGACGTTTATCACCCGCTGCTTGCGTGGGATCTTTGCCTGTGCTGGGGACGTTAATATCCGTAGATCGCCACGGATCAGATCCGGTTAGCAGAAGTTGGATAATCAATGCTCTCACTTCACGAAGGAAGTAATTGCAGTAGCGGCGATTTTGACTAAGCAAAATCACGGTTCTTCTCGGGATTTAAGACTAAGCTTAAATCCAGAGGAATAGGGGACGGGTCTCAGATCTCTCGAACTCCACTCTTTATGCACAGGAGATCGCCAAGATCTGCTAACCCTCTCTGAAATTCGTGGCTATGCACTTGAGAAACCGGCAGCACCTCGCCTTCTTGATCTCCTCCTCGAAAATGAACACTAGAGCTCTTATTTATAGGCTTGGTTGACGGTTTCTTTAGATCAAAATGAGGGATCCTTTCTATCTTCAGTTAGAAATTGCATAACCACTGTATCGGAGCAGTTGGAACTCCCAAATCCGAAAGAATCCATAAAAGAACTGAAAAAATCAACTTTTGGCCGAACAGTCACCCGTGGTTCGGCCTTGGCCGAGCCACTGGTCTGACCGAGTCGCTTTGGCGCGATTCGGTCGCTAGGGGCTTTATCTGTTTTTCGGGTTTTGACTTGTCCCGTACACGGGCCATTTGGAGGTGGCCGGTGAGTGTATAGGCTATTCGGTTCGCCGTTTCGCTTCATGTGTTCATCGGCGTCGGATAATCCTCTTAGACTTAGATAGTGGCGTTCATCACATTCTCTCTATCCCGAGCTGTACATGGATACCTATAGGCATTTTTAGACGCCTACAGTAAGTAATATTTAAAATTAACTAAGAAAATAGTAAATATTTAGTCGCGTAATTAGTTGTAGTTGTTTAACATATTTCATATTAAAATAGTTATTTTTAAATACTTTTTAATCAGATTCTTTAAGTAAATTTTAATAATTAAAACATTAAATATACTTTAATATTTTATACTATTTAATCATTTGTAGCTTTAATATTAAATATTATGCATTTATAAATTTTATAATATATTTTATATGTAAATTTATAATTATTTATCATATATAAAATAATTTACTAAATATTAAATATTAAATATATACTTAGTATTCATCTCAAGTTATATACTTACATATTAGATAAGAAATATAGAAAATAAATACTATTAAATCTAATTAATAATCCATATATAAAATAATTAAAATATTAATATTAAGTAAGTTTATAATTGTATTGAATATTTTTAAAAAAATATTTTATATTTAAATATATACATATTTAAATATACAAATTAATAGTAAAAATTTGATCTTTAATTGTAATTATAGAACATTAAAATTTATTAATAATTATAAAAAAATATTAAATGAATAACATTTATATTTTTTGATGAAAGAATAATTATGTTTGTAGATGGCTATTTAACACAGTCTAAGCATCCATTCGAAATCCTTCCTAAAGGTCCAGAAGTCTAAGCAAAATATCATATTCCTAATCCAAATCCTAGATGTTATAGTCGTTTTAGTGTTAAAAAGTAATCCCTAATTAATAGCAAATAAGTGTCACACATTATGCGTAATCGAGCCAGTTCTTCAATTCAAGATAACCAAAAACCCAGCTCGGGTGACTCGACACGCCGATATCTCGCAAGAGCGACTCGAAAGGCATTATTTGTCGACCCCTGGCTAGGTCGACTTCTTAACCAATCCACTCGACCGACCATCCGGTCGCCATCTCGAGAAGGAGACTCAAAAGACGATACTTCTCGACCTTCTACTGGACGAGTAGAAAGGCGACGACTACCTCAAGTCTCGAGCTCTCTCCAGTGCACCGACAGTTGATCACCTCACAATAAATACCATTAAATACATGATTAGCGCTATCATTTCTCTGACCTCAATAGTCTTTATTACACATCAGACCACGTCGGCACCGCACCCCCAGTCACTTCACATTAAATGCGAAGGCGACCTCCCCTCCACTCGTCGGTCGATACCTATAAAACAGATGCTGACTTGGCCGCCAGCCCATACTCGGTTGAAGTTATGATCCTACCCCTCTACTACTTCTATAAATAGGGGTACTATTTTCAATAAAAAGGTAAGATCTTTATCTCTACCCATAGTTCATAAGAACTTTTATATATAGTTCAGTTACTTCTCCACTCAAGCAAATAACTAACTTGATTGTCGGAGGAACAATCGGAGAACCCAACTCCGCCTTCTTATGAATTTTTACTTGTGCAGGAGCCCACTTCAAAACCAGATATTCGGATGGTTAGAGAACCTCTGTCAAGCAAATAAGTTCTCTCATTGACTGTTTGATATCAGCCACCAACACTAGAATATAGGATTCTCGGACTAACAATCCAAGTCTTACCAAACAATCCCGAATGAATAACACCCCTAATCCTATATATTTTGAGTTCTCAATCAGGGAAGATCACATAAACATCATAAAGTAGTTCTTGAGGGAGTTAAGTGACAAAATAATCAAATTGATGTGGGGGGATTTTCTAAAGTTCTCAGGCTTATTTGGGGTTTATTGAGAGTTTCAAATAAGCGCTCTCAAGGCCCAAGCTTATTAGGGGTTCAGCAAGCTTATTAGGGGTTTAGTGAAAATTTCCCATATGATATGATATATGTTCCTATTCTTATTTTCAATTTATTAGAGCTACGTTGATATCTAGATATATTGATTGATTGCACTGTATGCACAGTTTTGAAGCAAAGCCCATGTGAAATGGAACCCTTAACTAAGAATAAGGTTAATCAGTTGCCGAAGAAATTATTAGTGATTTACCATTTATTGTTTTCCCATATCTAAATTTCATTTTTTTCTTATTTTTGACTGGAATTGAACAATGAAGTCAACCAGAGAAGTTAACTTATCAATTAGATTACATCTTCTTAGTTTTCTAGTAGATATTAACAATTGAATTCACCAAAGAGCTTATCTGGATTCCTTTTTTTTTTTCTAGTAGACTTGAAAGGTTTAAGTCAAACTTTACCAGATGAACCTATTTTTCGTCTACCTCCATTGATGTATTCTTTGGCATTAAAAAAAAAGGCCTAAGAGCATTTGGGACATTCTGCGAGATTCTTTTTTTTATTTTCAATGTTAGCACATGTTAGATTGTTATAAGTTTATTTGTGCTAGATCCCTGCAGTATCTTTGTTTTGAACTTACTTACTGTCCTTACAGTTTCACTGTTGAGAAAATTTCCCCAACTTTTTGACTATTCATTCTGGATGAAATTTTGGGAAATATTGCTCCTTGATGGAAGTTTATTCGAAGGAAAAACAGTTCAAAAAAAAAAAAAAAAACACCTCGGGTCTATTTGCATTAATGCTACTAACCCCTTTTCCCCCTTAAGAAAGAGATTAATGGTACACGTTGCAAGACGTTTTTCTTTTTTACATGTCTTTTCGTCATACCATCGTCAACAAAGCCGATTACCTGGATTCGGATCCTCTTCACTATCTAAAAAATAGTGGAGGGACCACTACATAATCACAACCATTGATTATCTAGTTGCTGATTGTGATTTTTTCTTTGAGTGCGAATTAGGAATGCGTGCAATACACGGGGATACTGTGAGTGTTGGATTTAGATTGTATCATAACCGCCTACTAAGTAATCAACGATTGAGATTAAAAGTAGTGGTCTCTCCACTATTTTTTTGTAGTGGAGAGGATCCAAATTCTCCTAGTTTGTTAAAAACCTTGAAATTAAGAGATAATTATTGTATTGGAATACAAATTTATTTGCTGAATACAGATGTTTCCAAAGCAGTAACATTATTCATGAGATTAACCGTAAAAGATCACAACTTTTCCTAACAGCGCATTTCATCACAGCAATCTCTTGAGCTAATCAAGATAAAACATTCAGAGCTTTCCCGTAAAGTTGAATTTTGCGCAGCTCGTCCGCTTAAGGAGCAGAGAAGAAGTAAATCCCAGCCTCTTCCTCCTCAGATCAAACTGAAGCAGGTGGTCCTCAATCTGATGCCCTCCGATGACAATCGAGGTCCTCGGTTTCGCTCCTCCATCCACAAATCCGAGGCACAAAACTCCCTTCTTCGCTTCCACCATCGAATTCGCCCCGTAAATCCTCCAAACAACGTGATGATTATGCAACACGAGGTCGATCGGAGGCACTGAGGGCCCAGTGCCGGAGCTCACGATGTCCGCAGCATTATAACACAGCTTAAAAGGAGCAACGGGGGCAACACTCTTGACCTTATCCTTGCTCATTCCAGCAGCAAATGCGTCGGCCACGGCTTTGTAAATAGACGACTCCATCACAGTATAGGGAGCAACAGTACTGATCTTCGTCCCCCCTCTCCCTTCTCTGTCGATCTCCAGCAGCGATGCTTTCACCGGCACGACATCCCAATTCACCTTGATGTGCTTCACCTGAATAAAGTGCTCGACCGATCTCTCTCCTTTTACATAGGAGTTGGCGGTGCTCACGTTGTTGATGATCAGCGGAGTGTAGATAAAAGACTGGGATAAGTCATAATCGGGCATGAAGTTGTAAGGCCCGTCGCCGAAGAAAATGACACCGTCAGAAGCAGTAGAGGGGGCGAGGCAAATCGCGAACTTCGGCTG